CCCGGCCCCTTCCCGGCCATGTGGCCTTGAGCAAATCATAGTTGTTGCGGCTTGGATTCCAGGGGCTTCGGAGTGCTTCCAGCTCGGCCAGTGACCTGTTTTGGGGCCCCGAGTAGTGGCTTTAGGAAAGGACGGTACCGTGGAAGTGCCCACTGATGAAGGGCTAGGGAATGTCTCCTCGCTGTGCAGACTGCTGGACCGTCGTTAGATCTGGCTGGAGAGCTTTGTGTCTGCTCCTTGTTGCAATCTTCCTGGAGCTCTGAGGGAGCCCGAGCTACACATATGTCTCACTTCAGGCTACTGCCCAGGAGCTGGAGAATGGCCTTTTTTGGTCCCTGGCATATAGTTACTGCAGGACACACTCCAGAAGACAGTGGTACAGACAGCAAGGGTCCTGGGGTCTGCTGAATCTCCGATCTGCTGAGGATCGGAGCAACTCTGCTTGGATCACATTAGATGTCCCAGGCATCTGTTGCCCAGGGAACATGGAAAGATAGGCCTTGCCAGAAGGAACCTGGGAGCCAGGGCCTGGGCGTCTCCGCTCCCTTCCTAGGATCCCTGTACCTAGGGCCCTGCCCAGCTACATCCAGGCCAGCCCAGAGTCTCTGGGGGGTTCGCCTGCTTTAAACTGGAGACCCCCAGCTGCAGAGGCCCTGTCTGAGGCACTGGCCCGTGTCCCAGCATGGTAAAGCCTCCCAACCCTGCCACCCTCCCCCACCCCATACCCCCAGGGGTCACCCCAGAGTAGGTGGGGAGAAGAGGCAGGGTTGGACAGGAATGATTGACAGGCCGTGACCCATCCTCAGGTCTGCAGGCAGGCTACAAAGAGGTCAGGGCACAGGAACTTGGGCAGCTGAGTTCTCTTTCTGGGTCCTGTACTCAGCAGCAAAGGCCAGGTTTGGAGCTGGGCTCTGCCAAGGAGGCCCCTCGCTTCCTCACCCCGCACCTGCTCGAAGCATCCGAACTGTGGGTAGGTGGAGCCTGCAGGTGGCAGGATGGAATCTCAGCAGCTCCTTTCCAAGGACTGAACAAAGGAAATGAGTTAGAGCTGTAGCAGGCTAGACATCAGGAAGAACTTCCAGCAGGGTGGGGTGTTTGTCATGACTGCCTGAAGAAGGCTGGCCCAGGGATCTCCCATTGAGATGGTCCCTGTAGATGGGATTGGGTTAGAGCTGAGGGCCTTGTTCAGGCTGCTGCTTTCCTCTGCCTTGGGGGCTGATCTTCCCTTGCTGCAGGTGTTATTCGTGTCTTCCCTTCCCCTGCCCGTGTTACAAACCGCCCTCTCTCTGTACCCACCACCTTGTTGCTCACTTCCCTCCACGTCTCCCCTCCCACAACCCCTGACCCCCCTTGGCCCTCTCCCTTCAGGCCCAGCACCTTGGAGGTGGCAGGGACAGGACCCAGGGCTGCAGTTTAGACCGAGAGACCTGGGCACTTGGTGGGGATTCAAACAGTGTATGAGTTTGAACTGGGTCCCAATTGGACCCGGTGGGCTGTTAGCTTTACTACAGCTTGATGCACAATGTAACGACCAGACTGTTTCTTATAACTTCCCCATCTATGCGGGGAAGGGGGTGAAATTAGCCCCAATGTACACATTTAGAAACAGGCTTTAGCCAGGCACTAGGCTGAGATCTGAGGATCTCGATTCAAAGCCAGCCCGGGCAGGAAAGTCCATGAGACTCTGATCTCCAATAAACCACAGAAAATGGGAAGTGGTGCTATGGCTCAAGTGGTAGAGCGCTAGCCTTGATCTGAAGACCTTCAGTGCCCAGGCCCAGAGTTCAAGCCCCACAACCAACAAACGAAAGAAAGAAAGAAAGAAAGAAAGAAAGAAAGAAAGAAAGAAAGAAAGAAAGAAAGAAAGGAAGGAAGAAAGGAAGGAAGGAAAGGAGGGAGGAAGGAGAGAGAGAAAGAAAGAAAGAAAAGAGAGACAGAGAAAGATAAAGAAAGGAAGGAAGGAAGGAAAAGAAACAGGCTCTGGAGCTGTCATCCTAGCTACTCAGGAGGATGAGAGCTGAGGATCAAGGTTTGAAGTCAGCCTGGGCAGGAAAGTCCATGACAAAAAGAAAAAAAAAAGCCACAAGTGGAGCTGTGGCTCAAGTGGTTGGGTGCCAGCCTTGAGGAAAAGCTAAGGGACAATGTCTAGGCCTTGCATTCAAGCCCCTGTATTTGCACAAGAGAAAGGAAGGAGGGAAAGAAGGAAAGAAGGAAGGAAGGAAGAAAAAGGCAGGCAGGCAGAAAGAAAAAGAGGAAAGGAAGATAGAAAGAAAGAGAAGAAAGGGGCTGTATTCGTAGGCATGGATGTAGTGGTATTCAAATAGATGTCTCTGTGGTAAGCCAGGCATGCTTAAGGAGACGGCGTTTCGGGCGTCCTCTCTGGCCGTAGGCACTTTGCCTGTGGAACCTGTGCTCCGGCAGCTGTGAAGCAGGGTGGGTGGCGAGCTGGGCTCACAGGTCAAGAAGCAGAGGCGCAGAGAGGTGAAGCCACTCACCGGTGTCACGCCGCCTGATTCTGCTGTCACTGCCCCCCCCCAGGTCCCTGGGCTCTGACCCCTCCTGGCAGGTCACACCACCCAACATGATGCACACCCCAAAAGCCCACCAGACCCCAAGATCCCCAGAGAACGCCCCAGTTCCACCCCAGCTCCCAGTGGAGCGCTCAGCCCAACAAAGCCCTGGGTTTCCATGGGGGCCGCCTCCCACAACCCAAGGCTCTCCTACCCCAGACACAAGTGGGCACAGTGGGGTCCCGGACCTGTGATGAGGTGACCCAGTTCTTTATCTATAAAATCAGACTTCTAGAAGGACCAGCCTCAGGGTGGTGTGAGGACTGCATGCGGCCATAGACATGGGCATCTGAATCCTAGCTTCTCAGGAGGCTGAGATTGATCTGAGGGCTGTGGTTCGAAGCCAGCCTGTGCCGAAAAGTTGGTGAGATTCTTATCTCCAATGAACCATCCAAATGCCAGCAGTGGAGCTGTGGCTCAAGTGGTAGAGTGCCAGCCTTGAGGGAAGAAATAAAAAAGAGCTCAGAGCTCTGAGTGCTGAGACACACACAGAAAGAAAGCTCTGGTTTGTGTGAGTCACGTTTGTTTTATTATAATGAATGGTAGGAATTCTCCAAGTCAGGGCAGATTTAATGTGAATTCCAGGCAGGTGCCTGGCACAAGGCAAGACTTAGGCTGCCACTGGTGGGAAGGGCACCCTGGACGCCACTCAGCCGGGCCTCTCCCTCTAATGGAAGGTCCTTAGTCTGCCCTTGATCCAGCCCCCCCTTTTTCCATCCTGTTCCGTCTCCTCCCCTTCTTCCTCCCCTCCTCCTCTTCTTCTTCCTCCTCCTCCACTTCCTCCTCCTCCTTTCTTTTTCTTCAAAGGTACTGGGGTTTGAACTCAGGGCCTCGTGCTTGCTACTCAGGAGCTCTACCACTTGAGCCACACTTCCAGCACTTTTGTTTTAGTTATTTTTTTTGGGATAGGCTCTGGGCCAATCTAGGACCACAACTCTCCTGCTAATGCCTGCTCTGTCCCTGGGATCACACATAGGTGTATACCACCATGCCCAGATTGTTTATTGAGATGAGGCCTTACTAAGCACCCTCCCTCCCCCCCTACCCCCCCCCCCCCAGTCTGCTGGCTTCCAACCTCAGTCCTCCCAATATCTGTCTCCTTAGTACCTGGATTGCAGGCATGAGCCACCATACCCAGTTTCTGTCTTGTTTTATAGATGAAGGTACAGGCTTCTCGTGGGGGTTAAGTAGCTGGCCCAAGGTCACACTGCTGCTAAGTGTACTAAACGATAGGTCAGGATTAGGACCAAGTCTGCTTGACTCTAGAGACACAACTGTCACCAAATGCCTGCTCAGACCCAGGCATGGCTGAGTAGAGGAAGAGCGTGCACTTGCCTAGATGTGCAAGGCCCTGGGCTCCATCCCCAGTGTCCAGATTGGATGGAGTGTAGTTCTGTGGTCAGACACTTGCCTCGAATGCACAAAGCTTTGGGTTTGGTTCATAGCACTCTTAGAAAACAAAGATGCAGCTGGATGCCAGTAGCTCACACCTGTAATCCTAGCTACTTGGGAGGCTGAGATCTGAGGATCTAGGTTTGAAGCCAGCCCAGGCAGAAAAAAATCTATAAGAACTCATATCTCCAATTAATCATCAAAATAGCTATGGTAGAGTGCTTATCTTGAAAAAAATCTAAAAGCTCAGGGATAGCATCCAGACCCCAAGTTTAAGCCCCAAGACTGGCACACATATAAAAGGTGGCTTTGAACTATGATCCTCAGATCTCAACTTTCTGAGCCACTTGGATTACAGGTATGAGCCACTAGCTAGGGCTTTTCTTTTTTCTTTCTTTCTTTTTTTTTTTTCCAGTCCTGGGGCTTGAATTCAGGGCCTAAGTATTGTCCCTGAGCTTCTTTTGATCAAGTCTAGTGCTCTACCTCTTGAACTACAACTCTGCTTCCAGCCTTTTCTGTTTATGTGGTACTAAGGAATCGAACCCAGGGCTTCATGCATGCTAGGCAAGCACTCTACCATGAAGCCATACTCCCAGATCTAGGGCTTTTCTTTAACAGTACTTTTTACACATTTGAACAAGAGCAATATTTTATCATCTCAGCCCCCAACCACAACCCTGCTGCCAAAGTCTAGCCTATCCTGGGTTCATGGGAATCTAGTCTCTAGACAGGGACCAGGGAGGGTGACCATAGCCCCAGACCAGTTGTGTCAGCCCAGAAGCAGCTTCCTTGAACCCCTGAATACCCTGACATCTGCCTCCCCCGCCTCTTTGCCACCTGCCTGAGCATCAGAGCTCCTGGGGAGCTGATCAGGATTTCGAGATTGTCCCTTGCATTCATCCCCCAGAAAAATGAGGACTCAATCACAGAGGTGATACTGAACTTCGGAGGTGAACGCCGCCAGCCCCCCAGGTCCGTGTTCTGCTGTGGGCCTTGACCTGATCTGCTAAGCGCCGGTGCTCCTCCTGGTCCCAGGCGGTGGCTGGTGAGGGGTGGAAATGGGTTCCAAGCCTTCTGTCCCCCTTGTGCAGCCCAGCCCTGGCTGCCTGGGCCCGGCTGGACTTTCCTCTCTGCCACCCCCAGACAGCCATCCTCCTCGGCAGACTTTAAAACAAGGTTCGATGTAGCTATTAAGTCAAGTGGGTTCCTGCTCTAGGGTACTCTCTCTCTCTCTCTCTCTCTCTGTGCTGGTACTCACCCTTGGCTTTTTCACTCAAGGCTAGCGCTCTACCACTTGAGCCACAGCTCCATTTCTAACTTCTTGCTGATCACTTGGAGATAAAAGTCTCATAGACTTTCCTGCCCCTGCTGGCTTCAAACCACGATCCCCAAATCTCAGCTTCCTGAGAAGCTAGGACTATTGACGTGAGCCACTGTGCCTGGCCCCGAGAGACCTCTTTGAGGGGCAAGAGGGAGGTGGCAGGTGCTTGGTGTGATGGGGCAGCACGTTGAGAATGCTCCAGCACTTTCCATGAACCCGGACCACCCCTCCCACCCCACGCCCTCTCAAACACTCGTTCTTTGACTTCTTTCCCGCAGCGCTCCTCAGGGGCCTCCAAACCTGACTTTGGGCTCCGATCCTGAGTGCTCCTTTTAAGCACTGAAAACTCAAACAACTCTCTGCTTTATCTCTCTGCCTGTTTCCCCCTGTTCAAAACAGGGATTAAATGGTAGTTCCTACCTGACAGGGTGGTTAAGATGATTGAGTAATGACCCACAAAGCACCTCGAGCATGTTAATCCTCTATTCGTATAAATCAACAGAGTAAATGCAAATTAATAAATCCGCCCACGGCGGAGCAAGTGGAAGGAGCTTGTCCAATCATGTTGAATCATACCCGGTCCACCTGTGCTGTTCTGCATCTTACCTTCGGTTTCTCTAATGGGTTACAGTGTTTGTGCATGCACGTGTGTGTACACGTGTTCACACATGCATGTCTGTAAGAATTCTAGTTATATTGAGAATGAGGTTTTTATATTTGTGGAGAAGGTGGTACTGGGACTCGAACTCAGGGTCTGGTGCTGTCCTTTAGCTTTTTTGCTCAAGGCTGACACTCTACCCTTAAGCCGCAGCTCCACTTCTGGCTTTTTGCTAGTTAATTGGAGAGAAGAGTCTCATGAACTTTTCTACCCAGGCTGGCTTTGAACTGTGACCCTCAGATCTCAGCCTTCTGAGTCACTTGGATTACAGGCGTGAGCCGCTGGAACCTAGCTAGGGCTCTCCTTTAACAGAACTTTTCACATAGTTGAATGGAGCAATGCTTTATAATCTCATTTTTAAAATTGCTGATTTGAGGTGAGGTCTGTGTCACCCAGGCTGGCCTCAAACTCACAATCCCCCTGCCCCTGCCTCCTAAGTGCTGGAACCGCAGGTGTGCATCGCTGTATCCAGCTAGTGTCTGACAGTCTTAGCTACGGAAAAGGAAAAATGTGGGGCTGGAGGGGGAGGAGGTGGGAGGATCTTCCCTGTTGGGGATGGCATTTCCTGCTTTCCAGCACCCAGCTCTGCAGCGCCTTCTCTTGGCCCTCCCTCAACACACACAGCCTCAGCTGCACCCCGAGTTCTGCTGGAGGGGGGCAGGCCTTTGGAACTTGCATTCTATTCTTGGCCACAGTCTTCTTCATCCTCCTTGTCTCCCTCCCCCCCCCAGTCACCCGCCCCAGGGCCTTTGCACCTGCTGCGCAGGGCCTGCAGGGAGCAGTCTGAGGGACGCCCTTTGCTCTTGTTTGCAGAATGCTTCTCCAGCAAGGACATCATCTCCAGGAAGGACAGTTCCAGCCCGGGCGTCGCCAGCCTACGCGTCCCCAGCTCAAGCGTTCCCTTCCAGGTCCTCATCGGTTGGGTCGTCATCGTCTCCCCGGTCAACATGCGCGACATCTCCAAGCAGGGTGTACCTGGTTAGAGCCACGGCGCTGGGGGCTGTCCCGGTCCGAGCAAGTCCTGCCAGGCCAGCGCCGGCCACCAGGGAGAGCTCAGGTGAGGGGGAGGCAGGGAAGGGGGTGTCCCTTCTCCCTCCTCCATCCCATGCCGGACCCCGTCCCGACAGCCTCCCTTCCCCTGCCATCCTGCCCCTAGGTCCCAGCCTGCCCAAGTTCTCCTGGAAGGAGACCCAGAAGCAGCTGCCCCTCATCGCGTGCATCCTTCTCCTCATCGCCCTGGTGGTCTCGCTCATCCTTCTCTGTGAGTGGAGGGGGCAGGATGGGGTCTGCATGGGGCTGGTTAGAATGGGCCACGCTGCAGGGACGGGGAACCCACGCTCGCCCACCGGGGACCACGCCCACCCTGGGACACGTTGCAGATGGCCCCTCTGAGGTGGCTGGGTTGGGGGCGGGACACCCGGGGGAGCCTGGTTCGGGTCCACCTGTGCACCCCACCGGGGCTGAGGGAGCACGCTCAGACCGCTGGGTGTGCATCCGCGCATTCAGCTTACCCTAACATCTCATCCCAGCTTCCCCAGGCTAGGAGGACTAAGGGCAATGATGACACATGCCTGGCACACAGTCGCACTCTAAAACAGTCTGACTGTGAACACAAACAAACGATGACTGAGCACAGAGCCGCATGCTGGTAATCCCAGCTGTTTAGGAGACGGAGATTTGGGGGGGATCATAGTTTCAGCTCAGCCCAGGCAAAAAAGTGAGCCCCCCCATCTCAATCAATAAACTGAGGGTGACGGTACGAGTCTGTGATTCCAGCTACGCAGGAGGCATAGGTTAGAGGAGCTCTGGCCAAGGCAAAACCCACAGGACTCGGTACAAAAAATAACTAACGCTGGGCACCAGTGGCTCACACCTGTCATCCTAGCTACTCAGGAGGCTGAGATCTGAGGACTGTGGTTCAAAGTCAGCCCAGGCAGGAAAGACTGTGAGACTCTTATCTCCAATAAACCACGAGAAAACCAGAAGTGGTGCTGTGGCTCAAGTGGTAGAGCGCTCACCTTGAGCTGAAGAGCTGAGGGATAGTGCCCAGGCCCAGAGTTCAAGCCCTATGATGGACAAAATAAAAATAAATAAATAAATAACTCAAAAGAGAGATGGAGGCATGGCTGAAGTGGTAGAGCACTTGCCCAGCAAATGTGAGACCCTGAGTTTAAACTCCAGTACCAGGGAGAGGAATGGAGGGAGGAAGGGAAGGAGCAGGGATGGGGAGGAAAAGCAAACAAGCAAGAAGAAAGCAGGTTTCCCAGCGCCAGTGGTTCACACCTGTCATTCTAGCTACTCCAGAGAGGCTGAGATCTGAGGATCACGGTTCAAAGCCTCTTATCTCCAACAAACTGCTTAGAAAAAGCCAGAAGTGATGCTGTGGCTCAAGTAGTAGAGCTATAGCCTGAGCAGAAGCTGAGGGAAGAGCCGAGGCCCAGCGTTCAAACTCCAGGACTAGCACGCATGCACGCATGCACACACGCATGTGCACACACACTAATTAGAAAGCAAGCTTCCCCATGATAGTCAACGGTAACAGTGCTGGAAACAACTCAAACCAAATATGTTTGAGGGTGGCTATGAAGAAGAGGAGACACCTATACCGGCCAGGGTGTGGAGGCCAAGAGACAATTGTGACCCAGACAGGGCATCAGAGCAGACAGACAGCAACCAGAAATATGGGGGAGGGGGGACACGGGAGAGAGAGGCTGGCATGGAGGAAATGGGAGGGACCCACTTTTCCAGGAGAAAATACACATTGGGGGGACCTGGGACCATCTGTTTGACTTGGTAAGGCCAGGCCATGTGGCAGAGAGCTTTGAGCGCCAGGCCAAGGAGTAAGGATTGTGTACAAGGCAGGGTGGAGTGGTGAGGGGCGGGGCTGGGTAGCAGTGGTAGGACTGTGAGGAGGAGGGCTGTGTGGTAGAGCATCGCTTAGCACCATGCATGCCTCTGTCTCTCCCCAGCTGTGTGCCTTCAGCAGTTAATTAATGTCAATTAACATTCTAAGCCTCAGTTTCCCCATCTGCTAACCAGTCACTGCCGTGATTCACATAAAGGCCTCCAGACCTTGAAGAGCCTCAACCGCAGGGCACTTCCTGTTGGGGTCCCCACCCTCCATCTTCTCTCCTCCCTGGCACGGCCAGGGGGAATAGCACCCAAGGCGGGCCCGCCAAATGGAGTTAAAGCTCCTGGCGTGGTTTTGTAACATTTCCCAGCAATTCCCGGGTCTCCTTCAGGATGGAGAGGCGGTGTGATTTGTGCAGGTCACAGCGGCCTCAGGACTGGAGCCTGACATGACGGCTCCCCATCAATCCTCTCCCCACAAGACATCAAGGTGACTCAGTCCCGAGAATCCAGGGCATGGGCAGAGAAGAGGAGGAGAGGAGGAGGGCTAGACCGAGCCACGAAGAGGGACTTGAATCAGGACCAGAGGGAGCAGGCCCTCCATGGAGGCACCCCAAGACAAGAGGAGGCTGAGGAGTTAGGGCACTGGTGTTGGGGTGTCTGAGGCTGGCTGTCTCCAGGCACGAGGGGTGACAGTGGGTGGGGAAGGAGACGGAGAAGTCAGGAGGCTGATGGTCACATAAGGTTTGCCAAGTTGCGTTCTCCGCCACGTGGGAATCAGCCACCTAGCGCTGCTTGTTGAGGGAGAAGACATGTAAAGTTGCAGACAAGCGCTGGGCTGAGCACTGAGCACAGGGGCTGCCCCTGCTTTAGGGAAGAATGAAGAGAAAGCACACGCAGGAGCTGTGGAGGCAGGAAGGATGGTAGCTTTGGAGGAGGCCAGACACGTAACAGGAGCAGCCCAAAGGAGTCCCCACCTCTGTCTCTGTCGCTCTGTCTCCCTCTTCGGGTGGCTGGCTGCTTGAGTCTGCCTGGGGTTGCCCTGCTTGCCAGAGCTTTCTGGAACATTCTGGAGCATTCCTGAGCAGCTTTTCTCTCCACACAGATGGGGGACGGGAGCCCCAGAGTCCAAGAGGGATTGCAGGTCGGTGCCTCAGAACCCCCAGGGCCTTGGGCTGCTGAGCATCCGGTCTCTCTAGGGCTGGAGATGATTACCATGCGCCTCTTCTCTTCCAGTCTACTTCTGGAGGGGCCACACAGGAATCAAGTACAAGGAGCCGGTGGAGAGCTGCCCCAAGCACACCGTCCGCTGCGACGGGGTGGTAGACTGCAAGCTCAAGAGTGACGAGCTGGGCTGTGGTAAGGGGGCTGGGCAAATGGGAGGTTGTATGTGCACGTGTGTGGTGTGTGTGCGTGTGTGCGCATGCACCTGCTCTAACCGACTGCAAACTGTATTGCTGACCATGTGACAGCTCAAGCCAGAGTGATGGACAGAAACTCAGGTCTGGGTTCTAGTTACAGTCGACTTAAGTTTGACACCAGGGGACTTGGGACAAGTTGCTTACCTCCTCTGGGCTTCAGTTTCCTAGTTTTAAGATCAAGTCAATTGGATAAGATTGGAGGGGGGGAGCTCTCAAAACCTGAAGATGTCAGTATCAGACTGAGAAGAGCAGGACAGCTCAGGCTATCAACAGGGAGGGGGTGTTCAGAGCCCCTGTGATCCACACCCCCACTGCATCCTGCCGGTCACCTCCAAAGTCCTAGAAAAGCACAAAGATTGTTTGGATCTTTGGCCCCTAGTGGTTTGTGCATGCGTGGTCCGTGAGGTACTCTAGTGTGTGTGTATGTGTGTGTGTGTGTGTGTGTGTGTGTATGTATACCTGTGGGTGTATGCACACATATATCCGTGTGTGCACATATATCCTGTCCGCCTAACTTTTGTTCGTGATAGCAAGTGACTGAGTAAAGCAGTTCTAGCGGTCTCCTGGGTCCTGCCAGATAGATCTTCCCACTCTCCACCCTTGTCTTGACTCTGACTTCATTAAGCATCTGGGCCTCTAGCTTTCACCCTTGAGGACCCCTCCCGTGCCTCATCTAGAAACTCAGGACAGGAACTTCCGGGAGGCCCCTCCCCCGCCAGCTCCTCCCCCAAGAGACTGACGCTTCCTGGTGCTGAGGGTCTGCTTTCCCTTCTCTGCCCACAGTGAGGTTTGACTGGGACAGGTCTCTGCTTAAAGTCTACTCGGCCACCTCCCACGAGTGGCTGCCTGTGTGTAGCAGCAGCTGGAATGACTCTGACTCCAAGAAGACCTGCCAGCAGCTGGGGTTTGAGAGGTAACCGCCGGGGTCTGGCACCGCGGAGGAAACCGCAGGGGCGGTGCAGCCACACGGCAGCAAGATGACAGTCAAAAACAGCAACAACAAGCCAGGTGCTGGTGGCTCAGGCCTGTCATCCTAGCTACTCAGGAGGCTGAGATCTGAGGATCAAGGTTCAAAGCCAGCCCCGGGAGGAAAGGCTGTGAGACTTGTATCTCCACTTAACCACCAGAAAACTGGAAGTAGCACTATGGCTCAAGTGGTAGAGCGCTTGCTTTGAGCTGAAGAGCTCAGAGACAGCACCCAGGCCCAGTGGTACAAGTCCCACAACCGACAAAACAACAACAACAACCAATAACCAACAATGAAAAAACCTGGGCTGGGCATCAGTGGCTCACACCTGTCATCCTAGCTACTCAGGAGGGTGAGATCTGAGAAGGGCGGTTCAAGGGCAGTCTGGGCAGAAATGTCCGAGAGACTCTTATTGCCTATTAACCAGCAAAAAGCCAGAAGTGGAGCTGTGGCTTAAGGTAGAATGCTAGCCTTGAGAAAAGAAAAAAAAAAAAAAGAGCTTAGGGACAGTGCCTCAGCCCTGAGTTCAGGACTGGCACGCACACATGCACATGACCCTAGATGAAAAATAACCAGTGCAAGTGTGACATACAAACATGAGGCTCGAAGTTCAAACCCTAGTCCCACCCCAAACCCCTAAAACAAAAGCCGTGAGCTCCCGGTACCTCCCCAGAGCCTCCAATGCAGCAGGTGGGGGGCAGGCCCCCGAAGTGTGCATTTCTAGCTGAGGATGTTGATTCTGCCCACCCAGGACCACCCTGGGGAGCTACTGGGCTTAGCACGTGGTGCGTGGGGTCAGGCCGTCCTGAGCCTTGACCGCCAGGAGAGCACCACCATGCTGATCACTGCCGTCTAGCTTCTGTCTGCAGGGCTGGGGTGCTCTTCCTCTAGCTGAAGGAGTTGGGGTGCCCCATCTGCAGTGAGTTCACTCTTATCTCCTTCTTATAGTGCTTACCGGACAACTGAAGTGGCCCTTGGAGACTTTTCCAGAAGTTTCTCCGTCTCTGAATACAACTCCACCATCCAGGAAAGCCTGCGCAGGTACCGCTCCTGTTCCTGTGTGTGAGCTGGGAAGGGAGAGGAGGGAGGAGACTGGGAGGGGCTTTGAGTGGGGGGGGGCCCGTCCCTGCCTTCCTGGGGTCCAGGAGTGCCTCACAAATGTTCAGGGCATCTTAGACACAGTCCTGTTCACATTCTGCCATCAGTGGCCTCCTCAGCTCCTGGCATCGTTGTCTTGGCCCCCTGAGGGAGGTCAGGGGATACTACTCCAGCAAGTGTTGTGTACTTATGGAGGGGAGAGCGGAAAACAGGCTCCCAGGGATGCAGGAGCTATGTCAGAGAACCGCTAGGTCATGCCAATTAGTACAAAGTCATGGCAACCATAAGTCCTAGGTCCAAAGGACATGGGTCTGGGCGATGTGTGTGATACACCTGAAGAAGGCCCCTGGGGGAGGGAGGGATTGGGTGGAGATGATTGGCTCGGAGCAAATTATGATAAGGAAGATTGTCAGCTGTGAGAGAGAGGGTCAGATCCTCTACTTCTCATACTTAGGGTCGTTTCCAAGGTATGGGCTGGGGCCTAGAAAGTGCTGTGCCCTTTGCTCACCTCTGCATCTCTTCCTGCAGGTCTGAATGCCCTTCCCAGCGGTACGTCTCTCTCCAGTGCTCCCGTAAGATGCTCTTCTTGGATTGTGGGAACCAAGGGTGGAGGCCTTTGGAGGGAGATGATTGGCCTCATGGGCCCATGTGAGGGAGAGAGGGAGAGAGAGAAAGATACTGGCTGGTCCAGGATAACATTTCTCTTCTCCTGCCTGGTGGACACCAACTCTTTGTTTGGAAATGAGAGATCCAGTCACAGTGCTGGTCACTTCAGGGTGATGGAAGCTGTCTGTCTTTCTTAGCCCAGTGGCAGCCCTAGATATAGTGCCAAAATAGTTGGTACTGAGTGAGTGTTTGCCAAATCAGAGGAAGGGAAGGAGGGAGGGAGGGGGGGAGGAAGGAAGCTGATTGGGACCAAACTTCCTACTGGATGGTCCCAATAACCTGTACAAGTAGTATTTCTGCTCAGGCAGGAAACAGCTATGCCATAGTGAGCAAAGAGGTAACTCATGGATAGATGGATGGATGGGTGGAAGGATGGATGGATGGATTGGTGGATGGATCAATGGATGGATGGATGGGTGGATGAATGAGTGGATGTATGGGTAGGTAGAAGGATTGGTGGATGGAAGGATGGATGGTTGGATATATGGGTGGATGGATGGGTGTGTGTGTGTGTGGATGGATAGATGAATGAAGGGATGGGTAGCCTACAGGACAGGACTGCCCAAACCTGCCCTGGACCCAGGGAGGGTGACAGAAGCTCTGAAAGAAGCAGAGTTTACCGTTTGTTTTCTCTACTTCCCCTAGACTGTGGCTTAAGAGCCATGACCGGGCGGATCGTGGGCGGGGCGCTGGCCTCAGAGAGCAAATGGCCTTGGCAAGTCAGTCTGCACTTTGGGACCACCCACATCTGCGGGGGCACGCTCATCGACGCCCAGTGGGTGCTCACCGCTGCCCACTGCTTCTTTGTGTGAGTGCCTGAGGGCCCGGGAGGCAATGCTGTGGGGATCCGGGAGCGTCCTCCTTGGTGGAGGACTTTGATCTGAGCCTGGTCCCCCAGACCTGCATAGTATACGCTGCTTGGAGCACACTAGAGTGTGAGCTGTGGGCATTTGTTCTGTGTTAGGTTCAAGGATGAGAAAAATACCACTGATGGCCCCTAGAAAGAGTGTAGCAGGCAGGAAAAGGGTCTTTAGGCCCTGCTCGTAGAGAGCAGGTGCATGAGATCTCAACAGAAAAAGCTGGTTATGGTGGTGTACTTCTGCCATCTCAGCTAGGTAGGAAGTATGAAATAGGTGGATCACAGTCTAGGTGCAGGCCCAAGCCAAGAAAAAAAAAAAAAAAGCAAGATTCTATCTCAAAAATAACCAGTGCAAGCCGGGTGCCAGTGGCCCATGCCTGTTATCCTACCAACTGACTAGGTTGAAATCTGAACATCATGGTTCGGAGCTAGCCCAGGTAGGAAAGTCTCTGAGACTCTTACATCCAATTAACCAGCACAGAGCCCAAAGTGGAGCTGTAGCCCAAGTGATAGAGTGCTAGCTTTGAGCACAAAAACTCAAGCACAGTGTCTAGGCCCTGAGTTCAAACCCCAGGACTGGCACATAAACATATTCAAAATGAGGGCTGGAGACATGGTTCAGTGATAGAGCACCTGCCTAGCAAGCATGAAGCCCTCCCTGGGTTCAAACTCTAGCATCACCAAGAAACAAGAGAAAGGAAAGAGCTGCAGCCATTGTTAGTACTGCTTCTGGCAACAGGGCTGGGCAGCAGGGGAGCCTGAGAATGGGGAGTACCTTCCCAGGAACTGAGGGCATTGCACACAGCTTCTGACCCTCCCCAGCCAGCCTTGCCCAGACCTCAGGAACACTGGCTTCCAAAGTCATGAGCCTTCAGCCGGTCCTTCTGTCCCGTCTAAATCCCTGTGGATAGACTTCAGCCACAGTGACGGCATGATGGCATTCATTCCGAGGTAGAGGGCCTTGCTCATCCCTTCCCCTTTATCATTATTAGATGTACAACAGCCTGCTCAGAACACTGGGGGAGGAGGGAGAGGGGAGGAGGGCAGAGCGGTAAGAGGGGCTTGCTTCTCTGTGCACAAGCTCGAGGGCTCCCTCTAGAGGCCAGTGTGTCCGTGCTCCAGGCTCTGAGCGGGCGATGCTGCTACATGTGCTACCATTCTGCCTGGTGCCTAACTGGACTGTGATGCCTTGCGCCCGTGGCAGGACCCGCGAGAGGATTATGGAGGGCTGGAAGGTGTACGCAGGCACCAGGAACCTCCGCCAGCTGCCCGAGGCTGCCTCCATCTCCCAGATCATCATCAACGGCAACTACACGGACGAGCAGGATGACTATGACATCGCCCTCGTGCGGCTCTCCAAACCCCTGACCCTGTCGGGTGAGTGAGTCTGCTCCTGTCCCTTCCTCCCCAGCAACCTGGAACTCGGCAGCTCCCTCGGACACGGATGCGCCGTGGGTCCCCACTGCCTCAGCCTAGCAGAAGTCAAAGGCTTGTAGAAATCATTAAAGAAACAAAACAAAACTTCGTTATGGTACAGTCGGGGAAACTGAGGCCTGGCGAGGAGAAAAATAAGTGCTTCCTTTTGTTTTGTTCACACTTGCACATCTCACACTGCAAATCGGCCACAGAACCAGGGCTGGGAGGCTGGTCCTAATCAATAGAAATAGATTGGTTTGTGTCACCAATAGAAACCAAGCTTTCCAGAAGCTAGGCACAGCGGTGGGCCTGTGTGATTGTGTGTACGTTTCCCAGCCAGTCCCGCAGCGCAGTTCCTATTATTAGCTTCCCATGACGTCTGAGGAAGTGGCACTTTAGAGAGAGGTAATTACCTGAGGCTGTGAGTGACAGGTGGCAGCTCCAGGATTAGATCTGGGTCCATCTGACTGGCTTGCAAATGAATGTGCTCCTCCTTTGCCCTGGGATGACAAACTGTCTACACTGCCTTGGAGAATGTGAGCCGTGTTCACACTCAGATAGCTCACTGCCACTGAAGTTGGATTGCAGGATCAAATGAGGCTACACCATGTAAATGCCACAGAAGTTCTTCATCACCAGCTGGGCGCCAGAGGCTCACGCCTGTCATCCTAGCTACTCCGGAGGCTGAGATCTGAGGAGCTCAGTTAGAAGCCAGCCTGGGCAGAAAAGTCCCCAATGAGACTCTTATCTCCAATTAACCACTCAAAAACCAGAAGTGGAGCTGTGACTCAAAGTGGTAGAGCACTAGCCTTGAGCAAAAGAGCTCAGGGACAATGCTCAGGCCCTGAGTTCAAGCCCCACCACCGATCAAAAGAAAAAAAAGTTCTTAATCTCTGTGGACAAAGGAGACCATGCATTCATGCATGCATGCGTGCATTTGTTCACTTACCAAATACTCTATCTCCTGCACAGTCGGCTCTCCAGTGGCAAATGGCAAATTGAACCCAATGGGTGACATATACCAAGATAACCAGAAAAGGCTAATGATGGGGTACTGGGGAGCAGAGGGGCTGTGGGGGTATAGATGGGGCACCCCAGTTAGTCCTGTCAGGTTAGAGGAATAAAGATTGGAAAAGGGAGCTCCGGAAGGGCCCTGAACAACGGGGCAGGGTTGTCTTGCTTAGCTGCTTTGGAGTGTTTCTAGAAGCCTCAGCCAGTGCTGTGAGTAATCCAGCCATTCCCGCGCTCAGAGCCTGAGCTGGTGTTTGCTGGCACATGACATGCATCAAGGAGGTGGTGTCTCTCGTGAGTCATAGCCATCAGCTCATCAGAGTGAGAAGAGGAGGAGGAGCCCTGTGCAGAGCTCAGGGGACCAGCACTGGCCCCGAGCCCCGCCTGCTAAACCTCACCCACCAGAGCCCTGCCTGTATGTCTAGCCCAATCTGTGGGGCCACTGTGAGGCATCACCACTGAAGCCTGAATCTGAACTCAGTCTTCAAGACCAGAATGATCTTTCCCAAGCTGGTGAAAAAAAAAACCCTAGACTCCATCCGGCTCCCCATATAGATCTTACCTCTCACCCGCCTCTGTCCCTTCACTATGGTTTAGAATTCTAAAACAGGTTAAGTTTCTCAAGCTGAAAGAAAGCTATTAGAATATTGCGTTTCTGACTGTGCGGTCCCACGGTAGGCTCTGTTTAGCCCTTGGTCCAGACACAGGCCATTAGCCCGAGAATCATAGCTAAAGATTTATATAGATCTGTGGTCAGACCAAGTGCCCTGAGTTCTTGGCTTTTACATACCAGGGCAGATGTTTCTTAAACTTGGTTGGCAGGCTGAACACCTGGAAGTCACAGTAGTTTCTGAGAAGACTTCTGAACACTTGCTGACAAATCTGCTTTTCCCCATGAAAACATGGGGAATAGTTCCATTGAACTAGATAGAAATAATATCATGGAATACTACCAATAGAAAAGATGAACAAATCATGGAAATAGTGATGTTATCATGGAAATTGTAATAGAAATAATATCATGTACCACTAATGCCCACTAATGATTGACTGAGGTAAGAGTCTCAATAACATTTTGCCTGGGCTGGCTTCAAACCACAATCCCCTCCCACTCCGGTTCCCAAAGAGCTGGGATTACAGGCATGAGCCACTGCCTGTGGCCTTTATTCATCCATGCTCCTGCCCCACACCCCAGCCTCTCCAGCCTTATTCCTTTTGCTGATGCCTTGCGGTCTCATTGCAGCTCACATCCACCCTGCCTGCCTCCCCATGCACGGACAGACCTTCAGTCTCAACGAGACTTGCTGGATCACAGGCTTCGGCAAGACCAAGGAGACCGATGGTGAGGACAGGGTGCTAGGCCGTGTGTGTCTGTGCATGCGCTTGTGGTGGTCATGTGTCTGAGTATCGCGCTGAGGGCCTGTCTGGATGAGTCTGGATGTAGATATTCTGGGGCCTGAGTGTGCCTTTCTCTAGACAGGCCACCGGGAAACCTCTGTGGCTGAGTAGGTTAGATTTGCTGCTTGTGGCAATGAGGGGGAACACATACCATAGAGAGCTATGGGTGTCTCTGTCAGGGAAGGCCTGAACTTTTTGTGCTCAAGGCTGGCTCTCTACCACTGGAGCCATGGCTCTACTTCCAGCTTTTTGCTGGCTAACTTAGAGATAAGAATCTCAAGGCTGGCTTTGAACCGCAATCCTCCGATCTCAGCGTGTTTGCTATTTTTGTAGCTGCCCAGGAACTTTGTGTTGTCTGTGCTACAATGGAAGGATGAGGTGGTCTTATTCTGCTTTACTTCATCCCACTCACGAAGGTCCTTGTGTGGTGGCAGGGGCCCAAGTTGCCCTGTGTCGAGCAGGAGGGCACCATGGCCTAGCTGTGAGCCACAGGACAGCTCCATGAATCGGGGCCACTTCTCCCTGGCTCCATGTGCTGGGCTGATGACCTATCTGGCCTCTCCTCCATCACCGACTAGCCCCGTGGCTGTGGGAGGGTCACTTCCTCCCTTCTAAGTGTCCCCACCTGTAAGGAAATCAGCAAGATCCGCCCCCTTGAGGACACCTGATTTCCTAAGGCCTCCCATGGTGCTTTGCAATAGACAAACACCGTCTGCTGGGCAGGGTGTTGGCTGGGCCTGAGTTTTGCACGTGTGCGTGTCTGTTATGTCAGCCTGCTGGATCTGGTGTGCAGCTCCTCAGCATCCTGTCACAGAGAGCCTCCCTTGGGTTGGGTCCAGCCACGGTGCTCTTTCCTCCCTGGGGAGCTGTCCCTCTGGGCTAAAGGTCATGAAGCTCCCCAGAGTCTCACTGGCTGCCCCCTCTCTCCCCCATGCTCACTGCTCTGAAGAGAAGACATCCCCCGTCCTCAGGGAGGTGCAGGTGAACCTCATTGACTTCAAGAAATGCAATGACTACTTGGTCTACGACAGCTACCTCACCCCGAGGATGATGTGCGCCGGGGACCTCCGTGGGGGCCGGGACTCCTGCCAGGTGAGGCTGCTTGCGGCTGGCACTTGGGCATGGGGGAAGGCCGGAGGGTTAGGGCTCCGCCCCTTCCTGTCCTTGCCCACCGCCCCCACCTGGCTGACACGCTGGCTGACCCTTGCAGGGGGACAGCGGGGGGCCCCTGGTCTGTGAGCAGAGCAACCGCTGGTATCTAGCAGGGGTCACCAGCTGGGGCACCGGCTGTGGCCAGAAAAACAAACCCGGTGTCTACACCAAAGTGACTGAAGTCCTCCCCTGGATTTATAGCAAGATGGAGGTGAGAGCCCTGTCCGGAGCCTGAGGGGGGTCCAGGGGTGCCTCTCCCTGGGGTTCCCCTCTTCTCCCAAATTCAGTGCCATATGATCACTAAGCTGAATGTGTGTGGGGGGGTGCCCTTCCCCCACCACCTTTGGGCTTCAGTGTTCCCTGCCCATTTTCACCCTGGGCTATGGGTCTCTTCCTCAGAGTGAGGTCCGCTTCCAGAAATCTTAACCAGCGCCACCCTGTGCCACTGGCTGCTACGATGAGTCTGGCCCAAGGGACACGCCTCCTGTGACATCTGAGCCAATGGCCACCAGGCATTTCCATCATTCCCACCTCCGTTGTCTGCTGTCTCTGCCAGCACTGCCCTCCCCAGTTCTCCAGAAACCAGAACCGTCAGCTCTGCTGGAAAGCCCAGGCTGAGAACCTTCTGGAGATAAAAGAGTTTGGGCTCTGTGGGTGTTCCTGGGCACCCACAAATGAATGAAGGAGGCGAAGCTAAAATGATGATTCCCTGAGAAGGGTCTGGAAGGGAACAGCAGGAGTTCTTGCTCTTTTGACTCTGACGTGGGCAGACACCCACCCAGCGAGCCAGGGGACCCGGGGTGTTACCCTGGAATGGACAATGGGCTTCGAGGGAGCGCTGGCTTCCCTGTGCCGGCCATCCTCAGCTCAGAGCCGCCCCTGCTCCGTTCTGCGCCTCCCGCCCTTGCTCCCAGAGGGGGCCATGGCCCGACTCTGTGGGAGGTTATCGCGGCTGGTGATTGTAAACTCCAGCTTGCTGTATTTGTGTGACCACAAAGTTCTTGGGATGGATTTTATTTTTTTATATTTAAGCAAGAAAAGTAGATATGTATGTGTGTGTGTGTTTAAAAGATTCTCCAAAAGAAATTATAAAGGTCTTAAGAGTTAGCATTAATCACTCCAGGAACTCCAGGGGGCTCAGAGAAGAGTGCTGGAATGTCCAGCAAAATGATCCTGGCTTCAAGGGACCAAGGAAAGGACTAATGATGTCCACTGGAGGGGCATCCCCAAGTCAGGGGGCCAGGACCCCTCTGAGATACTCAGGGAAGGGAACCCTCATTTGGCCTGCAGATAAATCACAGCGACCACGGATGGCCCTGCCTGTAAGGCAGGACAAAATGAAGGCCAGGATACCCCCAGGAGGTATCAGGGGGACAGCACTCTTCATACCTGGAGACTGTGCTAGAACTGGGGGAGAGGGGGCTCATTCCCAGCCTTCTCCATCTTTCCATTTTCATTTGTTCCTGAAACAGCATTAACAAGGAGAGGAAGCAAGCACTGTCCCCAGGGCCTCCAGTGTGTGTGTGGCTGGCCGTGGGAGCTGAAGGCCTGAGCCTTTCCCCAGGTCATCCTCCGGAGTACCTGCTCCACTCCAGCCCGGGCCTCGGTCTCCTCACGTTCTTTGAACCATCCGAGCCAGGGGGACGTGGTGGTTCTCAAAGGCAGGTCCTCGCAGATCACTCAGCCCCGCCCAGCTCAGGCAGGCAGCCGTCCAGGGAAAGGCCGGTCCCCCGCGAGAGCACCGGGAGCCGTGCGGAGTGGCTGGGCAGCATCTGCGGGAGCTGGGGATGCTTGGGGATGTTGTCCCCACTAGGGAAGAGGGCAATGTTCTCATCTGCTGCCACCTCTTCAACAATAAAAGTCGTGTCACCTAAAGTTGTCAGAGTGTCACTGGCAACCTTGGTAAAGACAGAGACGGCAGCTCTGGGGTCCAGGCATCCTGGATTGGGGTTCCTACTTAGGCTCTGCTCACCTAACCTCATATCCATTCACCAACAACATCCATGTCTACACTGTGCTGGGTACTTGTGCTAGGTTCAGGAGGTACCCCAAGCATGACAGTGCCCTTAAGAACCGGGGTTATGACCCCGTGTGATGGAAGCTGTGGCTGAAGGTGGACACCATGCTTGGAATGTGGACAGGGAGCCACCGACGAAGGAAAGGAAGTGAGATTTGAAGTGAGCCTTCAACTGAAGACAGCAGGGGTCGGGTGCTCTGAGACCCAGCTGCTCCTTTTTCCGCCTCCACCGTGGCTTTGCTTGCTCGGCCCTGTCCACAGGCAGCCCTAGTGCTCACTCAGCTGTTTTTCAAGGAAGTGGAACTAGCTGTCCCATTGGCTGTGTGCGAGTGCATGCACACGCGCCAGTCCTGGGACTTGAACTCAGGGCCTGGGCACTGTCCCTTAGCTTTATTTGCTCTACTACTTGAGCCATAACTCCACTTCCAGCTTTTTGGCAGACAATTGGAAATAAGAGTCTCCCAGAGATCTTCAGATTTCAGCCTTCTGAGTAGCTAGGATGACAAGTGTGAGGCAATGGTATTCTCTTTCTCTCTCTCCTCTCTTCTCTCTCATCTCTCCTTTTGGGGTGTGCCTCAGTATTGGTTCTCTGGCTCTGTTCTCACTCAAGGTTGGTGCTCCTCACTTCCGGCCACACCTCTGCTTCCTGCTTTTTGCCGATTCATTGGGCTTGTTGGCCAGTGCTGGCTGGAGCCTCGCCTCCTGGGTGGCTACAGTTATAGGCTTGAGCCGCTGTGGCTTGGTTCTTACTGGCTGCTTCTAGAAGGTGAACTCCTCATGCTGTACCTTGCTTTGCTAGAATTTACTCAAGTGACCTCTGCACCTACGTCCCCATGGGTGAGTACAGTGCCCCGCACACACGGGCCTTGGACTCGGCACCCCAATCTTCAGGTCTGCTCCCCGCATTTCCAGGCAAGTGTGAGGCCCAGAGTTCAACCCCCCCCCATATCCCATTATGTTTTTAGTCTTGAAAACTCCCTTGTCCAGGACAGCTATTGCTCATTGGTCCAGGGAGGCGTGTGGTTGTGTGTGAGGGCCAAATAGGGATGGAGACCTTGTCAGATGTTTCCGGAGCCTGAGCATCGAATTCTGATGAACTCTAGGGCCTGCTGGATTTCTGTGGAATTTCTGTGAGGAAGGAGAGGCCAGGGGAGCCCAGTGTGCGGAGCAGGTGAACGCTCTTTGTGGAGGAGCCACTTACAGCCTGGCTGATCCAGCTGCCTCTGGGGTTTGGTTAGAGTCCCAAGGGCTATTGTTTCTCCCCAGTGCGCAGGCGTGGTCCTGCCGCCCTGGGGAGGATGTGGGGCTGCGGGGTAATGAGCGTAATGACGATGATTGTTGAGCTGTTTGCTCCATGCCAGGTGCTGTGTGGAACACCTGATGCCCATTACCTCCGCCAAGCGCCATAAGCCCCTCCTCCACCCCCCCCCCATGGACAGCTTCCGGGAGGCCCTTCTGAATCCTGACAAGCTGTCACATGCCATTCATTCCCTGCCTCCTCTGCACTGGTTCTGTTCTCCATCCCAGCGGTTGCCCAGCCCCGGGAGTCATGGCCATCATGGTCTCACAATGGTTCTGCCTAGAGAACAGAGAGGACCACGCTGTGGGAATAGCAATGGAAGAGGAGACCCCAGAGGAAAGCTTTGGTCCTCCTCAGGCCAGCTCCTTCTCCTTCCTCCAGGACACTGTGGCTTCTTCTCCAAAGAAGAAGTAGAGAGGGTGCTGGAGTTGGATGAATTCAGGTTCCTGGGAGATTCAAGACTTCCCGCCCTGCTGCGCTTTCTTAGCTATGTGATCTCGTGGTAGCATTTATTTAGCTATGCGATCTTGGGCAACCTGCTTCCTCATATGTGAGATGGGTGTATCTCTCCCACGTGGGTGAGGTTAAATGGGAGGATGAGGATGCGTGGATGCGTGTAAACAGGTTGGGCAATGTGGCCCCCGGTCCCCGGGAAGCACCTGTGGAAGCTGAAGCACAAAGATCTGTTCTCCATCTTCACAGCCCTCCACTCGACAGAGAAGGGTGTGGACAAAGCCTTCACAGTCTAGGAAAATTCTCCCCTTTTCTGCACAAACTTTCCTCTTAGTCTTTTGTTTTGTTTCAGCAAGGGGCTGCTGTTCTGGGACTAGGTAGTAGTTTCTCTTAAGTCATAGTGCTCCTTTGAGTTGATTGCTGTCTTTATTTAGATTTTCTTTGATTTCTTTCAAGGTAAGGCTAGCAGTCTATAAGTTGCCAGCACATGTCTAGTCTGTTAGATGTAGAACTAAGTATTTGTGTTCTCATAACACTTATATTAAGTACTTTTTTTCAAAAAAAAGCATTAATGTGTTTTCTTTTTAATGTATGGTTTAATCTGTTGTATGGTTGAAATACAAGAAGGGTATTTAATCTCACAAGGAGAAAGACTTGGAAAGTGGAAGAATATTTATTAGTTTTTCCAGATAATTGGGGGCACCTTTCTTTGATGCTCCACTGAAAGTATTCAATTGTAGAATTTGAAACTGTATCAACCATCTGCTTTCTGAATGTGTCTCTTACTCATATCTCATTTTGTAGTAGCATCTGAATGAACATTGGAAAAATATCTGAGTTTTGAGTGTTTTTTTTTTTTAAATTGGTGCTAGTTCTGGGCTTGAACTCGGGGCCTGGGCGCTGTCCCTGAGCTCTTTTTGCTTAAGACTAGCGCTCCACCACTGGAGCCACAGCGCCACTTCCATCTTTGTTGGAGATAATGGTCTCCAATTGGCTATGAAGTGTCATCCTCAGATCTCTGCCACCTGAGCAGCTAGGATTACAGGCAGTAGCCCCCCACCTCTACCGCTGCCTGGCAGGTAGCTACACTTGAAAAACACAAAGAACGTGATAAGAGACTGGAGCCCAAAGAGCCAGGGAAGCATGTGGCCAATGGATACAGATCAGTGGACAGGGAGCCTGTGTGTGATTAGGTGTGCCTGGATGTATCACATGTGCTGAGCACACATGTGCATGTCTACATAATATTGGTATGTACATATCTGCCCTGGCCTCAGTATCCCTAGGGGTTGGACCGAGCGATCTGGGCTCTCACAAGGCCTCATGGTGATGGTGGTTGATGCACTGCATTGTGAGAACTGAGGCCTGGAGGGTGTGTTTGTGGGAACACACCTTCAGGGGCAAGGATTATGCGGATTTGACTGGCAGGTGGAGATTTGCATCTGAGCTTCCTGGAGGCAGGAAGCCCGCTCCATCTCTCTTCTCCAGTTCACTTGACCTTGTCCTCTCGGAGCATTCTTAATCTAGGACAGTCACTCAGAGGCACTTAGCAAATTCTACATGATGACACCAGTGTTGGTAGAAGAGAACTCTCCAAGCCAGCTGGGCCCCTTGGCCATTCTAGTCCTTCAGTAGAGCAGCCAACAAGGCGCCTCCTTGAATCACAGACAGAAATCTAATTTAACAGTGCAGGAAGCACCCGGAGACAAGAGAA